GGCGCGCGGGGCTGTGGGCGTCACGCGCCGGCAGGTGTGAGCTGGGGAGGGCTTCCGGGTGGGCTGGCCGGGTCGGGTTCGCTTCCCGTGGCTGGGGGGCCTCGGGGCAGGGAGGGGTCCCCGTCGCGGCGGAGAGCCGAGGCCCGCGAAGGCGCGTGTCAGAGAGGCGTCAGGCCTCGGAGCCTCCGGGTGCCTGCCTGCCTGTGTGCACGACCTGCGTGGCGAGTGAACGTGTCCCTTGCTTAACCTGGGCCGGGGGTACCACCCCCTCACCCCTCATTCCAGAGACTGGTGTGTGGCCTTCTTCGACAGGCGATTCAGACTTTCCAGGAGGAATCGAGGGGTATAACATTGTACGAAACAGCCGGAGGAGTGTTTTCTGCCTTCCTGTGGTCCGGCGCCCTTTAGTTTCAAACGAGCGGGGTTATTAGCCCACCCTGGGCGAAATCCACTGTAGGGGCAGGAAGACACCCAGGAACGGAGCCTCTTGTGAACGCGCCTTATAAGGACCAGCCCATCTTCCATTCTTTGGGCACAGGGTATCAGTCTGCGTTTTTTTCAGACTCCTCGCTTTCTCATGTTTTGCCATTTTATTGCTTTTTAGCATCTGTGCTAGAGATCGAGCGAGGGTTAAGGCGAATCTCAAGTTGGTCGTTTGTATTACAATATAAGCGAAATTATACACCGATATTTGCCAGAGATTTCTCCATAGTCATTGAATAAACGTTGTTAGTTGCGCCCCCCACCCCCCAGCAGTTAAGCATACCAGAAGTAAGGTGTGTATCTTAGCATTTTGTGAAAGTTTAGCAATAGAGACTGTGTCCTTCATCGTTGTGGGGAATTTCATCAGAATGATAGTTTCCTATTGATTTGGAGAAGCATTGGTGATTTTGGCTTTGAAACTATTCTTTTGGAAGTGTGAATGTAAATACCCCTTAAAAATCAGAACTTTAGCATATTGTCTTGCAATTCTACAATGTGTAGTATTGCTGTAGGTAGTTAATAGAAGGGATGTAAACGTGGTAGGTGCCTACACTAAGGCAAGTATCCGGAACACAGAGCAGGCTGGCTTGTCCCACTTGGGATGCCTATATATTTTCTTAGTTCTTGACCGTTTTTAAGTGCTTGTCCCAAACATTATTTGAGCAGAATAGTTTGTGATAGGACTCAGGGAGAAAAAATTCCCAAGCTGTTTTTCTAAGGTAGCAGATAAATGTCATACCCTTGAAACAAAATAATTTTTTTCCTCATTCAAAAGGAAGCTCTTAAAAAATGTTTAAAATCAGAACAATATCATTTGTTCAAATGGTAGTAACACATTTATTGCATGCTTCCCATGTGCAAGCCTCTTGATATAGTTTCTAATCCTTACCTCACTCTGGCCTATGGGGTAGGTATCATTACTGTTTCATGGCTGAGAAAAAGCTGCCAAGAGCCACACAGCTAGAAGGTTCGGGGACATAGATTTAGTCTCAAGTCTGTCTGGTTTCAAAGCCTTGTGCTTGTTCCATTTTGCCCCCTAAGTTATCCAGAGGAAGAAGTATGGAAAAGGCACTGAAAAGTAGAGAGGCATAGTAAAGGGAAATACCACTAATGATTAGGTTGCCTAATTTAAGAATCTAATGCTAAACTCCTTCTTAGCTTTTAAAAATTAAGAGCATTTGTATCAAAGTACGTCTGTGCTTTGTTTTTATTTCCTCCCTGTTTAATTTTTATAAAGATAAATAAAATGCATTTAATTAGAGGTCAAAGCTTTCAGAGTCCTTTGTGCAGATGTCCGCTTCACTACCTTGCTGTTGTGATTAATCCTATGTGCTCTTCCAGGGACCAGGAACTTTTGTATCTAAGCACAGTGCTTGGCACATAGTAGGGGACAGTAAATGTTCATTGACTAAGGAGCAGATTTTAAAATGTAATGACTTTGGATTCATTTTAGCAGTTTTAGTTTAATGGGACAGTAAAAACATGAATAGTTCATGTGCAAAACACATTTTTCTAGAATACTTAAATGGAACAACTCATATGGTCTTGGAAGTTTGGCTCTGCCAGTTTGCTAAATCTCCTGAGTCTACATACCTGTTTGAGCTGCTGCACCATTCTGTTCTTCCTTTCACCTTGAGTTCTGAAAGAGGGGGCTATAATGACTGCTTCCCTTTACTACTCAGTCTTTCTTTGAACCTTTGCAGCCCCACTTCCAACTTCACCACTCACTGAGGCATTTCCCAAGGTTATCAGTTGGTTCCCAATGGTTAAATTTCCCAGAGCATCTTTTTCTGTCTGCCTTTAGCAGTCTGTCCTTTTGACTATCCCCACTCTCTTTAAATTTTTATTTTAAAAAATAACATGTAGTAGCATTGACTTTTAGTGTGTATACAGTTCTATGAATGTTAACACATGTATAGATTTATGTAACCACCACCACAGTTAGGATTCCGAACAGTTGTATTACTGTTCCCCACCCCCCAACTCTCTCACACTATCCCTTTGGATACACTTTTCTCCTGACTTCTCCTGAGGCTGGGGCTCCTTTTGTTGTCCTTGTTTTATTTTTCTCTTTTCTACTCCTTGAAAGTGTTACTTACTTTTGGTACTTAAAATACCTATCACCTCTCTATCTACTAACCTGCACATTCATGCCCGGCCTCTCTTCCATAATCCAAATATTCATGCCTACATGCTGCAGTTCACTGCTCCTTTATACGCACTGTGTTTAAAGTTATTACTAACTTTGCCTCCTAAACTAGCTCTTTCATCAGATTTTTCTGTAATTTTCAGTAGTGTTATTCTTCTCCCAAACTTGCAACCTGGGAACACTTGGAGGGAGGGCCTTATAATAAACTCTCTTATCCCAGACCTGATATCCTGCTACTCAGATACAAATACTGGCTTCTGCCCCTTTGTTGCCAAGCCGTCTCTGGTTCTTTAGGCTGTGTGGAGCATAGGCAGTTGGAGCACTTCCAGCCCCCTCAGGATCAGACTGCTTTCCCGATCAAAACCCCTCATGGCTTCCATTGCACTCAGGTTGTTTGGGATTTTATTTTTCATTTTATGAGGCTCTGTAAGATCTGGCCTCCGCCTGTCTCTCCAGCCTTCTCATCTCTTTCTGACCTTCTAATTCTACTCGTCTTTCAGTTCCTTTTCCAGCCTCAAGGTGTTTGTACCTACCATTCTCCTGGCTTGGGCTATTCTTCCCTCCCTGCTTCCTAACCCTCACCCCCTACTTCCCCCTTGTCTTCACCCAACTGACTTGAGGGGTCAGATTAAATTGTAACTTCCTCAGAGAGGCTTTTCTTTATGACCTTGTACCACTACCTCCACCCACCCTCGATTACATCTCTTAGAGCTCCTGCTCTGTTTTCACAGCTCTCACCACAATTTGTGATTCAGGACCATGTCTGTTTTGTTTCCCATGTCTCCAGAGCCTAGCCAAGAATCAGGCATACAGAAAACTCCCAGTAAATGTTTGTTGGCTGTGTTGTGAGTCTAGGCTTTGGATTTTATAATTTATTGCTATATTGTAGTTTTTGGTAGCCTTGTTTTTTCTTACGTTCTCTGGGACTTGAAACCACTATTGGAGGTCTTGCCAAGTAGTGATAGATCGGAAATTGCTGAAGAGGACCCTGATACTGTTCTCCCTCTGAATTGTGCCTGCCTGGGAGCCCTTCGCACCGAGCCAGACTAGATCTAACCTAAACTGTTGGCTGAGCTTGCCAAGTCCGCTGAGCAATGCACCTTGGTCATACAGACCGGGGTCAGCGTTTGCAGCTGTTCTTCCC